CTCCCAGAATTCTGGGAGTTGAAGTCCACTCATCTTCAAAGTGGCCAAGTTTGGACAACACTGACTTAGACTGTTAACAACTAGCCAGCCAGTTTCAAAAATCAGATATTCTAAACACACCCCTTCTCTCTCAGCCCTGCAGAACTATAGAATTTGGAAATTAAAGCAAAATTTTGAATCAAGCGTGCCAAAAGACAGCTGGATATCCTTGCCACCTCAAATAAGTGACTTTTGGCTTGTGGAGTCTGCAGTGACCTGCCATTTTGGTGCACCTGGATCTTGACCTGTGGCAGAGAATGCTTGTTCCTGCCTCATAATATGTAAAATAGGCAGTGCTAATCTCTGACCAAGGTCTTTCTTCCACATTAAATAGTTAATTCTGTCTTGTTTACAGCATTCCAGATAATTTAAATTCATCTCACAGCTTCCATTTATTCTGAATGCAAGGACATACTCTGCCATTGTGATTACCTGGTAAATTATTTCCCTCATGAGATCTGGGTCAGTCATACCGGCTAATTCCAGATGGATCGGGACATCCGTGGGAATGTCAGAAATGGAAGTTACAGCCTGCAGAAACACCCCCCCCCCAAAAAATACAGATTAGGGGAAGCAAATGCATAGGAAGATAGCAGAAGGGAATCACTGAATTCAGCCAGCTTCTTTCTGATTGGATGGCTGCTGGTTGGTGGACCTTCAAGCATATCTTCTTGCAGTGCAAAAGAAAGGGGATGATTCCATCTTCCTAGATAATTCTGCATTGGTCATGCTGGATGTCAACTCCCATAATCGCTAGCATGGCAGTCTGGAGACATGCTCCAAGCTGGAGGATAATGGATTAGGCCAGGAGTCAGCAAGCTTTACCTGTAAAGGGCCAGATCTGTCCCTTCAGCCTCAGTGGGCATGGCTGGCAGGTCTGTGGGCCAAGGAGCATGGCAGCCATTGGCAGCACTGGCCCACCAGCAAGGAGGCCGCTGATAGGACACTGCCCAGGATCCCTGCCACTGGCCCCTCCCCTCACCCTGGGAGCTTGGCCGAGGCTTGGGCTTGACCATCTGCTGCCTGCCCACATAGTCTTAGCCCATGGGCCATACAAAAATTTAGTGGGCCAGATTTGGCCCGCGGACTGTAGGTTGCCAACTAGAGTGTATCCCATGCCCCGCATCCTGACAATAAAGCTATATCTACGGTCTTTTAAAGTAACAAAATAGTTGTAGGGAAGTTTTTAAAAGAGGAACCAAAGCACTTTGGGTCTTACCTTTAGGAGCCTCTTCTGACGTAGCTCTCTGGTCTGTCCTTCCATCATATGGAACCCTGAAAGCACCACCAGGTCTGGCTGAAATTCTTCCAGGCTGGACACAAATACTTCTAACATGTTCATGGCCCCATTAGACAGGTCATGGGAGAAGATGAATCGGTTGGCGTTCGGAGCTCTCAGCTCTCCCCATTCTTCACCTGATAAACACATCCCCCCACACACACAAACCCCACAATTACATGAAATTTTTGCAGATGCATCTTTGCATTCATCACAGCTCTTATGGCTTCTCCTGATCTTCTGTTATCAAGAGAGGAATAAACTTTATCTGTATAGAGAGCGCCACTAGGCCCCTCACCTTCTAAGGATATTCAGGCTGTAACCTCATAGTTTTGGAACCTCCGCTAGTCAGAGTAGCTACTCTGCAGGGTAAAATAAGTAGAATATGACAAAGAGGGTGAAAGAAAGAAGGCTCTTTCTACAGTTGGCTTCCTAAGCCATTCCACCCATGCAAAATGGTGCCAGGTAAAGAGGCTATTTAAGAATGCACCGCATTGCATTCTGAGCTGCCCTGTTCATTTGGCATTGTTCCTTTAGCTGTATGCATTGTCATAACCTTGACAGATTTGAGTCCTTTTTTTTTTAAAGTCCACCTCTGGGTTTGTCCTTCAAATTCCCTCAATTCAAACTTTAACTAGATGAATCAGAGATCAGCTCCTAATGTCTAAATAAACAATGCCAACACCAACAGGTCATCATCATCATCACCGTTTTAGTTTTCTGTACTTTCTCTTTTTAAAGCAGAGCTATGCATATTCATTACTGAAAATTCCAGGCCTCGGGGGACTCAAAATATTGCTGAAAGCAGAACGATGCGTGGCAGATCAAAGTCCCGTGAAAGAACAGGTCTCGTGAATTAGCTTCATTGCCAAATCTTTTACCTTTGGCAGACTTCTACTGAGCATGCTCACTGCTTGCCTCCCATTCTCCAGTTTGATCACACGTAAGCATCTGAACTCAAGTTCAAAAGGAAATCCATTACAGATTGCAATCAATTCCAAGTGCCAGTGGTCCTTTCCCGCATATAGTTCCCAGACAGGCAACAGGGCAGTGCAACTATTTTAAAAACTTCTGCAATATTGGCAAATATGTTTTTTTTTTAATTTTCTGCTATTTTGGGATTTGGGCATTTCTCTATTAGAGTTCAACATATGAATCAACTCTTAAAGAGCTCTGTGATTCCCATGTTACAAATCTGAAACTAAGCTATAATGGCTAACCAGTGGATTTGTGATGGTGACCAGCTGACAACCAGGACCTTTCTTAAACTGGACACATTAGTGGTTACAACATTTTATTTATTTATTTATTTATTTATTTATTTATT